AATGAGGGATAAGTTTACTATCTTTTGACTTTATTATTTCTTCTTTATTTTCCTTGCTTCCATTTAATCCCCTATGACCAAACCTTCAATTCCTTTTCTAAGACATTCATTGGCCCTAAATATTTGCCATAGAATATTTATGATAATTGTTAGAGCCAACAATTACATCATCAATACATGACAACTTACTCTTTATTTAATTCTTGCTTTCTTTATTTCAAGATTTCACACGAACCCTTAGCACAAAAATTCTTGTACCATCATTTTTCCTTTCAATTTTTCATAAGAAACTCATTTTTAAAACTCAAATTTAACAAATTCAACATCTTTCATCTTGAACCATCCTTGGCAGCAATCATAGGTATTTGAGACTGTAGATTGAGCTTACTTTTTCCAAGCTCTTCTAGTGCTTCCTATTTTTATGGCTCAAGGCTAGGTTTTAAATTATGTTTAATGAACTTACACTTGATAAATTGATAGTTTTATCTTGAAGAAAATTGGACAACACCTCCACTTAAATTCAAGCTTTCCAATTTTCACAAAGCTTGCTAAATTCTAGTTCTATCATGCCTAAACCTCTTCAACATCATTTCCCTGATCTCAATATCATAAAAATCCTAAGGTCTCCTCATTACAAAAACAGGGCAGCAGCACAACTCCATGAAAACTTAATTAAATCCCAAGATACTTAGCTTAAAATAAAGCTTGTGCTTACCTCCTTTCTTTCCTACAACTTTTTCTTGGATTCTCCAACTTTGACACTTCTTGGCTGCACTAAAATCCTCCTCTCAAGAATTAAAACCATAGGATTGTTGCTCTTGAAGAGTAGAACTACTTTTATGAAGGCACTTTAAGGTAGAAATGTGGTTTTGATGGTAATCTTGCTTGATTTTTTCTTCTCTCTCTAAACCTCGCATGCATTCACCATGAAAGAATCTTAGAAGTTCTATCTCTTTTCTCTCCTTGGCCTGACCGAAGATAAGGAAGATGAAATGGTTATTGTGGTGTTTAAGTTGAAACGTTGATGGAATTGTAATATTTTTCTCAAATCCACCAATCACAATTTTCACTTGCCACTTTCTTTTCCTTCATTCCAAATTATTGTTAACTAATGTGTGGCTAAATGAAAAATGAATTTCCTTCTCCCAATTTGATCCAAAGGTGACACACTCTCTTTACAATTGGGCTCTTAATAACTTAAACTCTAGAAATAGAAAATTGATATATTATCTTCACTTAATATAATTTAAATTATAAAGTAATTCTTTTGAGAAATTCCTAACTAATAAAATTGTTATTGTATATCCAAATATTTCCTCTTTTCATATACTAATTTTCTTAAACTTTCCTAAATTTTGGATAATTTTTTATAATTACACTTTTAAGACCCAAACTTTCAAAAATTACATTTTTACCATGATTGAGCTTAACATTTTCGAGTCAATGCTTGGTCTTTTTCATTTTTAACTCTTAATATTTTCTCATAATCTCATCATATTATTTACATATAATTACCCTTAAACATTGATAATTACCATTAGTTTAGAATAGGCTATTACTCTTACTCACTTTTCTTCTCTTTCCTTTTTTAGTCTAGTTAGAAGTTGAGCCATCTAAGAAAAAGTCAAGAATACTCTCTCTATAATAGTTATCTAATTTTAAGAGGTCTTTGTATTTTAAACTCATCCTAGACCATCATCTTCCTAGAGAACTGTCGTATACTCCTTGTCTCAGTAACTTTCTATTAGGTCTACTATGACCATGTAATCTAACTATGATCTCAAGATCTAACTGCAATCTCACTGAGGCATTTTTTGATCTATTGTGATCCTTAGGATCTAACTGTGATCTTACTCTAAAAGACTTATGATAAAAGGATGAAGTTATCAAATAACTCTACCTTTGCTTAATCTGGCAACTTTATTAATTATTCTCCAAGACTGATCTTAAATACCCTTGTTACCCTCTTAGACTTTATTTATTCTCCTTTTAGCCTATCCTAGACACTTCTAAACTTTAACTTGCTCATTTCTTAGTTCTCGACACTTTATTAAAGTCTCTAAAAATATTTTGCTTTTGCCTGAGAAAAACTTTAAAATTATACTTTAGTCCTTAAGAATCACTCTATCTTTTTAGGAAACTTTAGGGACTCTTGATTAATTGATATTAGTAGCTTACTAAAGCCTTGCGTATTCTTATGCTAGGCCCAAAATTTAGGATGTTACATGTCTAATCCCTATCATTAGGGTTGTCTATTAACCCTTCTTCACACTTTCTAGTTGTTTGTCTATTTAGTTCTTGACAGGCATCCTATAGCTCTTGATTTTTGTGCTTAGAGTCATGCTAAAGTATCATGAGAGTTTGTTCAATGCCTTCAAGCCTTTTGGAAAAGTTGGCAAAGGTCTTGGTAAGGTTCTTAATTGAAAGTTGATGGGTGTATTTATCTAGGTCCACTTAGGATTTGAGATTTAAGAAAATTAAGCTCTTGTTTAAGGAAGGCTTGATTTTTTTAAAGGTCATAAATGGCCATGTAAGAGTAAGAGTAGACTAACGTGTAAGGGTCTGTTTGGATTTCAGTTGGATATAATAGAATATGAAAATAATTGATTATGTGGTAGATTTTAATCATAATTGATTATGTTATAATGTAATTTGTTTGGATATTTCTTTTTTAAAATTGATTTTAACTTAATATATGTTAGCAACTTTTTTAAAAATTTAAAATTTAAATTTTACTAAGAAAAAAAAAAGAGAAGAGAAGGGAGTTTGATTTTTTTTAAATAAAATATTGTGCTTTTTTATAATTTTTTTGGACCTTTTTATGTAATTTCTCCAATACTTTTTTATCAGCGTTTCCAGAAAAGCTCAAAATATTAGCTTTTGAAAAAAAAATTGATGGTTGAAATTGATTTTTTGTTTTTTCAGGTGTTTGGCTAATAAACTAAATAATCAATTTTTTTGAGAATAAAATCGATTAAAAACGTATCCAAACGGGCACTAAGTTTATAGTGATTCTATCCTATGGGATAATAGCCCCCAAGTTTCCCTTACCAAAAGTTAAAGATTATATCTAACAAGTTTAGCCTTTCAACAACTTAAAAGCTCCTCAAGAACCATACTCATTAAATAAGTAATAACTTGATTGAAGTCTTCATTATGATCTTAGGGGGTTTTTTTAAACCCTTCAGGAAAATAATTACAAACTTCGACTAACCTGAGGTAAAAGTTAGCCGGGTATAAGGTCAAATGTGTGAGAGGAATATTTGTGATTCTAGAATGTGAATAAGGTGTAAATCAATAAAGAGCAATGAAAATATAAATTAACTAGATTGAGAAACAAATAAAGAAAGGAATTGTGCACATATATATACCCTTTTTTGTTTTTTTTTTGTTTTTCTTTTTCTGTTGTCTTATTTCTCTTTTCTCTATATTTTTATTTTTTTCTTTTTTTCTCTAAGAGAAATTGAAACTAGATACAAAATAATTAGATAGAAGGTGCTTAAAATAAATAAAATAGTAAGATTAAACCTCTAAAAGATGCTAAAAGTCACAATAAATAAATAGAGGGTCAATTAAGTCTGACAGCGTGACTTAAGGAACATGATAAATAAGAATATTTACCCTCAATGGCTTCATGATATGATTTGTGGCTTTGGAAAGATTTGGGGTGATAACGATGGCTTGAAATAGGTTAGAAAACACTAAGAATGTAGTCAAGACAAAATTGAGAGTGACAAGTACATGTAATACATGCCAAGAGTGGACTTCACGTGAAAGGGAGGGAGGTGGAACCTGGCTCTAATGCCAAATGATGTGAAATGGTAGAGGAGAGAGGGAAGAGAGAGAAGAAAGAAAGGAGGAGGGAGAGAAAACTATATAATTCTTATTTAAATACCAAAACTATTTACAAATAAAACTCTAACTATATTTATAGAGCACTAAAATTAAAAATTAATAAATAATGATAAAATAATAATGCGAATCTACCAAGAATCAATAGAGTATGATAAGATATAAGATATAAGATATTCTAGATATCTTATTTTATTTGATAATTCTTAAAAGATATACAAAATAATCTAGATTTATATAGATATCTTATTTTATTGAAAATAAATAAAATCTAAATGCTAAAGTAAACAAACTAAGTACTAGATGTTGAATCAAATCTTATAAAATAAACCCTAATTCAATTAAGTATGATTTCCATGACATATCCTTAATTCATTTAGTCTTGCTGCCATAAGTAATAACCTCTAGTAAGGGCCTTGGTATATGATGGAAAAGTTTTCAAAGGATGCAAGATAGGAAATAAAGAAAAATTGAAATAGAAGGAGGAGGAGAGAGAGAAAGGGAGTGAGGAGAGAGGGGGGAAGAGAGTAGAGGAGAGAGAAAGGGTAAGAATTGGAGAAGGAAAGAGATTGGAGAGAGAGAGAGAGAGAATTAAAGGAGAGAAATACTGGAGAGAGAATTTTGAGAGAGGAGAGTGAGGGAGTGGGGAGACAAGAGAGAATTATTGCAAGAAATTGTTTTTGGCAAGGGTAAAATCGTTAAAAACTATTTTTGGCAAAAGCAATAATCTATAATTCTAGTAACATGAATTAAATACGGGAAAAAAAGCCACAATGCTCAATTCAATGAAGGAAAGAGAATTTTATTAGACCTATAGAAGGAATCCAATTAGACTTATTAATGGAACTAAGTAGTTGGAATCATAAATCAATTAAACATACCTGATATATAGAGATGAATCCATTTCTAGTTCTAATTTCTATATCTTGAAATATTTCTACATAAACATGGCCTTAATATTTATATTTGTAAAATCTAACTATATAAATTTAGGATATCAGATTTTGCATTAACTTTTGGCCTAAAAAAGAAGATGCCTACATCTTTTTAAAATAGTAAATAAGAAAAATATTTTAATTGGGGACAAAAATTTAATCCAAGCTAGTAACTTGCACATGATAAAGACTCTTCTTGAAAATCTATTGTAGGTATGATGTTGCTCTCAACAGCAACACAAAAGGGCCATCTCACCTCCTAAACTTTGCAAAGAGCTGTAAGAATATTTGTCTTTTCCTTCACATATCAACAGGTAGGTTCCTCTATTTATTTAATTATCAAGCTCTATATATACTCTACAATACTTGTATATTGTAAACTGATCTGCCTAATATGATAAATAATGTGTGTACTTCCTACAGCTTATGTCAGTGATGGAGAAGCAAAAATAATACAAGAAAGCCCATTGTGTATGGGAGAGAGCAATGTTTCTAGGAAGAGGAATAATATCTCAGAAAACCAAACATCAGTTCCCAGTCTTGATATTGATAATGAAATGAGGTTGGCAACAAATATAATGGAGCTTGTTAATGATAGCGAAGTAGCTAAAGAGATGAAAATACTTGGTCTTGAGAGGTACGAACAGTGTATGCTAAATGAAGCAGTAGCTCAAATAAAAAATAATATAACTTCTTTTCATTTTATCTAATAATGTACGGCACTAATTGGTTTAGCTAACCAATTAGTCACAAACATGCATGGTATAATTAAAATGAACACTATTATTTTTATAGGGCCAAAATTCATGGATGGCCAAATACTTATTCATTTACAAAAGCTATGGGTGAGATGATAATTACGAGCTTGAAAGGTGATATACCCCTTGCTATTGTTCGTCCAACTGTGATTGGAAGTACCTACAAAGAACCCTTCCCTGGATGGATAGAAGGAAATAGGTATACACATACACATATATATTTCATAATACAAACCCCATAAAATTTTACAATGTATATTATTTCCATCTCATTAATTTATGCTTATTTCTGTGTCAAAAATTCAGAATGGTTGATCCATTTATTTTATCCTATGGACAAGGAAAGCTTTTTGGAATGTTTGCAGACTCAAAAGTAATTTTGGACATGGTAATAATTACATGCAACTAGCCAATAGACCATCTTAAGTCTGAATCAAGCAGAGTATATATATATATATATATATATTAATTTATTTTTTAATTTTTACAGGTTCCTGTTGATATGGTAGTGAATGCTTTAATAGCTATAATGGCAAAGCATGTGAATTTTGATAATCCTAACCTAACTGTGTACCATATTGGATCGTCAATGATAAATCCAATTTCAATTGGAGATATGGTTGATTATTTTTACACGCATTTCAAGTGTTGTCCACTTTCAGACCCAAAGGGAATGATATTAGCATCTCCAAGGTGAAGTTTTTTGAGTCCATTGATGCTTTCTCAGTTTTCATATCATCAGAAATGGAAAAGAAAAGTGGTCTGATAGAGCCAACCTCTCTTGAACCTAACCTCTATACCAAACTCATACTTCAATGCAATAAACGAGCACACTATTTTGTTCAAATGGCTAAAGCCTATGAACCCTACGCATTCTATAAAGGAAGGTAAGAGAAAGAAAATATGCACACACATGGATAGACAAACACATTACTATATATATGTGTCATTTTTTTTTCATTGGCACTATATTACATACAAATTAACATAGGATTTGATGTTCTTTGCAAGGTTTGACATTAGGAATACACAAAAGTTAATGGAAGAGATGTCTGATGAAGAGATCAGAGAGTTTTGGTTTGACCTAGGAAGCATAAATTGGGAGGAATATATCTGCAACATTCACATTCCAGGACTAAGAAAGCGTGTTTTGAAGAGCAAGTAGTACCTAAAAATAATTTCCCTTCCTTTAATTTGTTACCAACTTTGTTAGTTTTTGATATGAAATTTAACGGTATGTAAAATTGAGGAAAATAAAATCTCAATGCAATATTGTTGTTTTTGTTGTTATTTACTATTGCCACTACTACTACTACTAATAATATGTGTGTTTTATATATAGCTATAGCTTGAGTAACTTCTAAGTCTTTAACCTTTTTTCTTAGCAAAATAGACCATTTTTAATACAATTTGTGAAAATAGTGATTTGTCTTATTAATTTCAATATGATATATTTTTATATAAGGGAAAAATATATATCAAGATCTATCAAAGAATGAAATAAAGATTTTTAACCCTTTTTCATAGCAAAGCAGACCATTTTTAATATAATTTGTGAAAATAGTAATTTGTCTTATTAATATCAATATGAGATATTTTTAGGGAAAAATATATATCAGGATCTATTAGAGAATGAAATAAAGATCTATCAAATAATAAAATAATAATAGAAAAAAATAGTTATAACCACCCTAACTATACAAAATAGTATATATAATAAAAAATCTAATATTTCTTTTTGTTGTCCCCCCTACAAGTTGGAGAATGCATGCCCCACAAGCCTAGCTTAGACAAGAGATCATTAAAGGGACCAACTCTAAGAGGCTTAGTGTAGATGTTAGCAATTTGATCCTTTGAGCGAATAAGAAGAAAATCTTCAAGTTTATCATGAACAAGATGACAATCCAACACAAAATGTTTGGTGTGCTCATAAAAAGTAGGATTAGAGGCAATATAAAGAGCAAATTAATTATCACAAGAGACCAACGCAGGAGAAAGATGAGAGTTATGAAGGTCTTGTAACAAAAATAGAAATAATTATAACTCACAAATCATAAAACTAATAGCTTGATATTCATCCTCGACAGAGAATGAGAAACAATGAATTATTTCTTCGAGCACAAACTAAAGCTTTGTCAAGAAAAAACTAAAAACTAATAATGGAATGGTGAGAATCAATACAACTGGCCTAATTAAAGTAAGAGAAAGCCTTCAATTTAAGATCAGATTCAATAGGAAAAACTAAGCCTTGCTTGGTGAGGGCTTAAGATAACAAAGAATACAATGAGAAGCTTGTAGACGAGTACTATGCAGATTAGACATAAATTGAGAGACTTGCTAGATAGCAAAAGCAATGTTAGGGTGAGTAGTTGTAAAATAAAGGAGCTGACCGATAAGACACTGATAAGTAGATGGATCATTAATAGGAGTACTTGCTAGGATAGGCTAGCACCTAGAGGGGATGAATTGAGCGATAGTTAAAAACTTTTGAAAACTTAAAAGATTGAGGAACTTAAGTATGAAGGAAGAAGATAAGACACATGATTTATACTAGTTTAGTCTCAAACTTGGCCTATGTCTAGTCCTCAAGATCATACTTGAGATTTTCAACTAAGTTTACAAGCTTCAATTGGTGCTTACCACTACAATACAACTGTCAAAACTTAATTTTTCTTGAATCACTCAACAAATCTTGCTATAATCTAGCAAGTTGTTACAAATACTTGAAAAATATCATTTTAAGATTTCTAAAGAAAGAAATAAGCTTTTGTCAAAAACTCTCCTAAATAGTAGATGGAATTACAATTAAAAGCTTATAAACTTATGAGAGATTTTCACAATTCTTTTCAAAAATAATGAATGAATGCAAGATGTAAAAGCATAATTTTAAAGCCTTTCAAATGCTCAAATAAAGATTAGTTTGTTCAAATATTATTAGTTCTTATTCTGGCTCAAAATGAATCATATATGTAGTTTTGATAGTTGATAGATCGTTGGAATAGTGATTCTATCTGTTGGTGCAATTTATTATGAGTAACTAATAGAATCATGTGAAATTGCACTTAGATTGTTCCAAATATGTATATGTGATAAATCACATGTGAACACTTTAACCTCTTATGCATGGTTTTGCACTTATGAATAAACATTCAGTTTTGTGTACTGAAACTCGTGTGGGACTTCTTTGCTCTCACGTGTAGTTTTGCATCTATAAATTGATAGGAATTGTTACTTGCCATCAAAAGTAAACTAAAACTAACCCTAATGCAATATAGGGCTAACCTTAGATAATCTCCTAAGGAATGGTTTTAAGTCTAATTTAAAGTTATCTAATAAAATAAATCATCTAAAGTTTGAAGATGATTAACTAATTACTAACCTAATTATCTAGTAAATTAAACTAGCAAACTAAACCTAATTGTGAATGAAGTAGCTTCCTTATTCAAGTAGGAACCCTAAGGTGTTGCTAATGGAAGAATCCTAATTTCTAATCAAACATGGTAGCTCACTTAACTCCACTTCCTTGGTTGAAAAGTGAGTTTACCTAAGACAGCTATCTCAAGTACCTTAGCTTTACTAATTCAATTCCATAAGTGCTATTACAAGCCCCCTATGTAACCTTATTAGCTTAGCTCTAAAATTAACTAAGTGTTTAGTTAAAATTTATTTCTACTTGCCACTGCTCAAAGCTGTACCCAAGTTTAAAACTATAAAAACTCAAGCAACTCATCAATTATTTACCACACAATTACATGCTAGGCTAATACAAGATATTCACCAATTGAAATCACATATTACAATGTAAAATCTTGAGGAGGCCAAAAATTCTAGCAATAACCAAGAGCATGAAATTCAACTAAACAATCTTATTTCAACATTACAAATTATAAACAACAATAAAAATAAAGTCAAATTGAACCACAATCAATAATAGTCATAGTATTCTAATGGGATTAAAATAAGATGAAGAAATAGTTGAGCTTAGCCAAGTAAAGACTTCAAAACTCTTATTCCATCAAGTCTCTCCTAGGATTCCATGAAGACTCTAGCTAGAAAACATTAAGAGAACCTTGATTACACTATAAACTCCATGTGGCCGTGAGGTAAGCTCTATAATCTTGATGAATCGAGCTAAAATCTTCTTTCAAATGGATAGGCTACGGTCAACCTTGAGAGGAGAAGAGAATGATGGAAGTTTTGAGTGGATTTGGTGGAGAAATGGTGGAGGAATAGGGCTGGATGTGTGCTAGAATGTAGAAAGAAGGAGGTAAAAATAAAGAACACCAAGATCAAGAGAGAGAAAATGTGAAAGATGAAAATGAATGAGCGAATAATCTAAGTTTTTGAGTGAAAAGGCTTGCTCCCACTTGTTTCCCAACAGCTGAAGGCTTAATTAAAAAATAACAAAATAAATTAAAATAGAAATGGGAGCCTTGTCATACCTGTAAGGTGGTAACCTCCCATTGGTCTGTAAATGATTTTAATATGTGTTGTAATTTCTCATATGTCAGCCACATCATTTAAGCTAATTTAATCTCTTAAAAATAGAATAAATCATGTGCAAATGTTGAGTTATTGACCTCAAGGAATGTTGACTTCAATTGCTCAATTGATGCACAAGTCATATGCCACCTATGTCACATAAATTACATAATTCAATTAAATATCATGTGACATAATAAAATTCAATTAATTTCCATAATTAAATTTATAATTAGAAGGGATAATCTATTAAAATAATCAAGTTCTTCGTTTCATAAAATAATATAAGAATTTTCATAAAAATCAAACTGAAAACTAGGTTAAACTAAGATACTTTAAAAAGTATTGACTTTTTATTTAATTACTCCCAAATTAAAATAATTTTTAAAAATATAATTTCACTACTCATCAACTGGACACAAAATGAACTTTGTTAATTTTTCTTGTACATTTTCTCAAAATTTTATTTTTTGGACCAAAATGCCCCTAGTGCACTAAATTTAGAAACTTAGGCAAAATTTCAAATCTAATGCCATGTCTACACTTGAAGGTGATAAATAATTAATAAAAAGGTCCTAATTGATAAATAAAAGTGTGTAACAAATGTATTCTATCATAAATATGCATTTATTTTTGTGTGATAAAACTCGTGTGGTACCTCTTTGCTCTTACACGTGGTTTTGCACCAGTGATTTTAAAATCAGACCAAACCAATTTGGATTTTGGTTTGATCAATATATGAAAATCATTTTAGAGGTTGAGCTGGATTGGACTATTTCAGACTAGCAGTTGGATTGGGAGCCCAAACTAAGTTGGGAACTGGATTTGGTTTTCTAGAACCAAACTGTTTAAAAAATTTTTTTTTAAATTTTTTATTGAATTATTTTAGGAAATGACCAATTTTTTTATTATTTGATATTATTTTATATCATGTGACTTATTAAATCATGATAAACTTAAAATATTTTATTTTTTACGTTAATTAGCAATTTCATAGTTATTTCTTATATTTAGATTATTGTATACATATATAATTTTTTTAAATTAATTATTAAGTTATTGGTTTGATCATTGGTCTAACTTGGTTAAACCATATGAAACGTGAACTGCTAACCTTTTCGATTCAATATTCAGTCTGATTTTAAAAACATTGCTTATGAATATGCTTTCTTATTAAAGTACTAAATCTTGTGAATAAACCATTAGCTCTCACGTGCAGTTTTGCACTTGAGAAACCATCATCAGTTCTATGTGATAAATCACACGTGAAACCTCTTTCCTCTCACACGTGAAATAACTAGTAGAATGTCAAAGCAAATTTTTGTGAACATAACTCGTGTAAAACTATAAGGCTATCATGTGTGAAATAGAAAGCAATGATGCAAAAACTTGCCTGGATTCATTTTCATGCGTGGAACAGCACATGACTCAAGCAAGATTTTACATGATTAAGAGATATAGATTTATAAATCAATGATCATACAAGTGAACAATTCTAACCTGGCTTGAGATAACTTAAGACTCAATAAAAAAAAGTGATTTTGCCACATACAAATCATGTATGGCTCATCAGACTCATGTGTGAAACAACACTTTGACATAATGTAAAGAAGCATAGTTGCTAAAACTTGCATGGACAACAATGGCTCTCACGCGTGAGATTTTGCATGCAGAAGCAAAGCTTAAGATATCACATAACATAAGTGATAAATCACGCATGAATTACTTCCTGACTCTTGCGTGATTTAGCAGTCAGTGTGCCTAACCAATAGAATCTCTTGAGTGACCTGCACAATCACATGTGATTC